TGACAGAGACCACTACAAGCACTCTTTTGCATAGGACCATGACGACCTCTATCGACGTTTAACCTGGTCCTCAGTACCACAACATATGTTAGCCAGGTGTGGATGGAGGGCAGAGTGCACCCAGGGGATCATTCAAATAGATGTCAACCAGTTCTACTCGTGTTCATAAGGACTAGAACTTGTAGATATGAAGAACAGTACCATGTTTAGTATAACGTTGACCATTTTTATTCCCTTTCCTCGGCTTTACTCTCTTCTAGTATTTAACTAGATATAATTATGCAGTCTACCCTTTTCGCTTGCTGTTTCCGTTGCCTCTTTTACCATTCCCATTTTCACTTTGCTCCGAAAGTATTTGATATGCACTTAGCAGTGCTCAGGAAGGCTGCATGTCTGGTAAATCTTTTACAGGATACACCGCATATTAAAGATTCCTTGACCCTTTTGTAACAATTTAAAATTGTCTCAATCGCTTGACCTTGAACGTAATCCAATGATTTTTGGAAATGTAACAGTTGTAGCCTTAATACCTGACCGCCAAGTCTGAAATGGATTACTTAGATTCGAGGCTCAAGGAACATGGTAGTTTTAGTGACGATTGGACGGAGATGCGGGACTTATACTCTCGAAAGTAAACAGTTTGTTTGATCTTATACTTCAGGCTATGGCATCAGCTAACTTTGCACATTCTGGATTCTCTGAAAAAGCCGGGCTTCGTATCTAGTGTCGACTTGGATCAGGTATAATTTACTTTTATCTGACCTCTTTGCAGTTCAACGATAACTTCCTAAACTCAATCAAACAAAAGTAAATCATTGAAAGTGTCATCAACTTTTAGAATCAACCCGCTTTCATTGGCAGAGATCATTGTCCCAATTAGTGAAGGCATGGTGAAGACAGGTACGCTGAATGCTTTGCGAAATACTTTTAGACCCACAAAAGACCATTAAGTTCATCGAAGAGAACAGAGACAAGGTATGTTTGGTAGCATTTGTAATTTTCCCCCACGATCTCAAAACATGTCTTATGCTAATCATACCTAACATGGCTAATATATTCATGGTTTTTTGTGCCCGTAGAGTCTCGAACTCATTAGTCCTTTTTTCGTAAACCATAGCTAAACAATCGGGTTTCCTTCAAATTCCTGGGGTCGGACTGTCAATATGGTAGCTATGGGCAGTAGGAACAACAATTAAGACCATTAACGAATAAGAGCAAATTGAACAGAACCTCTACATAGAAAACAAGGGGTGGCAATCACCAACGTCTGAAGATTAACTTAAGTTTAAAATGAACAACCTTCGCTCGCCTACTGAACGTCTGAGTGGACCGATTTGTGTCCAACGCGGGCCGAAACTTTGCCCCATATCACGCACGTGGAGGCTAAGGCCACGGTAGGTTATCCGCTCGCTGCTTAACAAGTAGCAGTCTCATTTATCACCAGTGGCTAGACCACGTATTGGTGAGACTCCTCTAAAAATTGGCATATTATTACGCTGTGCAAGTAGATTGCAGTCCACTTTTTCCGTCCCGTGGGTCATGAGTCGCACTAGTTTGACGCTTTTAATG